CCATATTTGATTATATGATGGTTTTTTGATAAACCATGAAATTTCTCTGACTTTAAGACATTTGAAAAAAATCTGAGGACTGGCAGAGAAAATAACAGTTTGGCTGTTGTTGGATCACATTGACATGCTATTTTCTTGCTACACTCCACACTAATGACTAGTCGACGGAGTCAAGTAACATTTGTGACCATAGAAGGTCTTATATCGATAAGGGTATAATCACCGCCTGATTCAATGTTATTTGATTTTAGTTGGATGAAGTCATATTAGATATCGCACCTTTAGATCATGTGTTTTCTAAAAAATATGGCCACATTATAAGAATTAGTCCTTAGCCCGAAAGTCGTTTTCAAATAATTTATTTTCCTTTTTCTTTTTTATTTTAATTAAAATTTTATAATTGATCTTGCTCAAGTGGGAGAATGTTAGAAATTTTATAATTATTGTGGGCTTCAATCAATTGTAGTTTTCCTTGTTTTAATAAAAATGGACTAAGACATGATCCATATGGGGTGCAGTATAAAGCCCATTTAATTAAGTGATCATTTGGTTTCGGTTTGGATGTGGGTAACAGTGTCGACCTAACCCATAGGCCCATGATGGGAAGGGGACTAGGGTTAATAAGTTTGACTAGGTCCCCTCTGCATTCACAGTGTGTTGAAAAAACCGTCACTCCCCAACTCGCTCCATCGACAGCTGTGATAGGGAGTGATGTGAACTGCAGAGAAAAATTCTGATCTTTCCAACCTTGCAGGAGCGCCAGATCAGCAAGAAGCAAGAATGCCTTCAAGAATCATGTCTTCAAGTAAACCTAACTCTTTTAGTATTCTAATTTCATATAATTTCATTATGTCTTCAAGTAAGCTACCTCTTTTGGTGCCTAACTATTTTGAATTTGGAATTACTTCATTCCAAGCCACACAAATGCATAATATTGAAAGTAACTCTTACCTAAGGAATATCTGACCAATCCCAAAAAATGTAGTAGGAAAGGAAATCCAATGATACAAATTTTTCACGAAAATTTACACATAGAAACAGAGACTTTAACTAAAACTAGTGCATTTCCATAGTTTCACGCAATCGGGGCTAACTGAGGCAACCGATTTATTTGAGGGTGAAGTTGCAAGTCCAAAAATTATCTCATCCTGAGGAATGGTTATTGTTTGCTTGCTCCCAGGAATCCAAAATTCTAGGCACTGCAATGAATTATAGACAAATTTATCTTCTCAAAACAGACTTAAAATTCCGACATCACATGGCAGAATATGTATATTCTATTGATTCAGACAGTTTATGCTCATAGCCAGTCCTAAGCTCTCTCTTTTTTTGTTAAGGTGCACTCGTGAGTGTAACCATACTAGGAGATAACAATTACATACTAGATGCATGAAGAGTTTACCTTACTGCCACCTATAACCAGGAGCTGCGGATATCCAGGATGAAATATGTACGACAAAAACCTCCCTTCTTTACAAGGTATTGAACATATCGGTTTATTGCACCCATATGTTGAAGCAGGCCATAAGTGTGCCTCGTTTTCACTGACACAGGCAAGTGATCGAATTTGATTCCAATAAATGGAAATAACATCTTTGTTATGTCCCTAGTAGTAAATAAAACTCATCATGTTATATATTATATAAGTAGCAAATCCAACATTTCAATCAAGCGAAAGTAGGAAAGATGATAAATTAACATTGAAGCTTACCACTAATTTATTCTGGAGTTGGTAATCGCAGGTTTTAAATATGTTGATAACCTTCCCTGAAGCTGCAGCCAAGAGCGTCCCAAATGGAGGTTGGAATCTAACTTGTGTTGTACCTCCATGCAATATATATTATTATATAAGTTGATTCCCACTGTTGTAGTGTGTGATGAGGTTGTAATGAATAGTGTGACATTCTCCATAATGTGTTTTCCAGTAAGCAAATTTAGATTTATGATGAAAACAATTTTGTGGCTGATTCATCAATAATAAAGTCAGTGGGCGTAGTCACGTTATATTTAGGTAGGGCTGGACTCAGCTATATTTCAATAAATTTTATTTGTTATATATAAATTATATAAGTAATTATAATTGGGCCCTAATTAAAATTGTAAGTTGGCCTTAGCTAAAATTGTAACAATGGTAATAGACGAAGATTTAGAGTTGCTTTGCTTGTATGATCATATAACAAATTGCTTTCTTTTTAATTTATTCTTCTTCTTCTTTCATCTTTTTTCAATTAGGGTTTTCTTCTAACTTTTTTTTTCTTATTCGCACTCACCATCCAGAATCCAACCATTATGTGACAAGGTACGATGTTTTGTTCCTTTCTTAAGATTTTAGGAATACATATTCTTGAAATATGCATTGGTAATTATATTGTCCACTCGGAAAAAAAATTGATTTATATTTGAACCTTGTAAAAGAGAAATTCTTTGTTTTTGCTGACCATAATTATTTATTGGGTGTTTTTAACATGAGTAAAATTCATTCCCCTGTTTTTTATTTATAAACAGTTATATTTATTGATTTTATTTCTTTTGAAAAATGGAGTGCTATTTTACATTTACCTTTTTTTAAAAAAAAACATTTGTTAATGTAGAGTTACAATTGCTATTTATAATGGAATTGAATTGTTTATTGGTGTTATTTGTATTTGATTTCACAACAGGAATGAGAATTTGGACGATTAATCAATGGAAATTGTTAAAGAGAAAAATCAATGAAGACATATGTATATATATGGAGTATGAAAATTTCTTGTACATATTCATTAACAACTTCTTTGTTTTTTTGTATTTTTAAAAATTTTAAAATATCTAAACACTGATTAAATGATTTATCTGGATCCAATGTCATTTAAATGAATTTAGACATTTGTTGCTGATTATTTCATGTTTCTTTTTAATTGTGAAGTTTGTTGTCCCTCTACATTGATGTTCTTCACAGGTCACGACTATGGGTATAAATGAGCCAAGTTAGACCAAGCTTTGGCTTTGATAGCCTAAGCCTATGTAAAATATTTAAAGTATATACTGGTTTATTAGCCTGTTAAAGACTTGATTTATAGGTCTAGCTTAACCTATTATAAAAAACTAAAAAACCTAATTCGACCTGTAAGGCCTACCAAGTTGCAAACTAAAGTTTATAGGCCCAAACCAAATTAAAATATAAAAGATAAAAAAAGTTATTCAAAAAGATCACATGAAATAAATTTTTATTAACATCATATGAAATAAATTTTCATTAATATCACATGAAATAATGTTCTTAAAAATCACATGAAAATGTTCATAAAAATCACATGAAAATTTCATATATGTATATATACATATAATTTGCACTTTCTTTACTAATTTAATTTTATATTATATTTTAAATTTTAAATAAATATTTATTATTTATTAAAGTAACATCAATCCTATTACTTTAAAAAATTTATGTAAATTTTTTTCATAATAGATTTGTATAATTACGAAAATATTTTGATAATTTGATATGTCAAATTTTTTGGCCCTGGCTAAAATTAAACCTGGCTCCGCCACTGAATAAAGTATAGTCTTAGATAAAAATTACTAAAATAATACATTTTTGGAAACTATTTAGATCTAATTTGATATTTTTTAGTTATTTTTGACTATGTGTGTCTCAAAAACTTAACATGTAAGAATAACATGCTGTCGTATTTGTAAGATTCATAAGGTGAAAAGTGATTTAGTAAATAATTTGTATATTTTAAATATATATATATATATATTTTAAACTACAATAGATTGATGATTCTCCCCGATCATTGCATTTTGTCAAAGCTCAACTTAGGAAAAAAATTCGGAAGAAAAATGCAAAACTCACAGCAAAGCTCTTGATCAAATCACCGTTGTTAATTTTGCACACTCGAATCATATCATCACAGAAGCAAAGAATGAGATCAATCAGGTGGAAATCCAATGAAGATATAGGCACAGTCCCAAAAGAAATACTATTCGTCTATGATATTAAAACACCAAATTAGAGTTACTTATGAAATAAATATGCTGAAATAAAATAAGATGTATAAGTAATTGCTTACGTGGGAGCCTGCTTCCCATATTCCTATGGTTCCATCTTCGGAAGATGTAGCAAAACTTGTTGAATTGGGTCGAAATCAAACTTCTGTAATTAATTGTGTATGTGAATGTTCTTTTATATTCATTCACACACAAGCTAATAAGCTAAATATACCAGAGTTCAAACTGGACTTATTTAAAAAATGAACTAGAACTTTTAATTCATTTGGTAGAACTTTTAACCTGAAATATGGTGAAATTTTTTTTTCACATATAAGTTACTAAAAGGTGTTTGGTAGGTCAAATTTTTTTTTGAAAATGTTGGATTAATTTTACTAATGCTATGTTAATGAGGTTATTGTTAATGAGATTTTGTGGACTCAATTTTACTGTCATAGACTCTGCTATGTGAATGTTTTTATAGGAAATATGCTATAGACATTCTTGAGAGAAGAGAACTCATTAAATGCTATGCCCGTCTACGCATCCAAAAATCAAGTTTATGCCAAATCAGGGAAAACTATTTTCAGATCCAGAATAATATAGAATATTGGTTGAGAAACTAAACTATCTCATAAAGTTACTCGACCGGACATCTCATTTGCACTCAATATAAAAAGTCTATTCTTGAATTCTCCTTGTGAAGATCACTAGAATGCAATCAAAAAGAGGAAATGAAAATTTCTATTCCTTTTCCATGAAAAAAAATGTCAAGTAAAACAGTCGTTAGCGGTGAATTTAGTAATTATTTGATTAATCAAAAAGCATTCTTTTGAACATGAATCAACTATCATTTTCAATTTTTGTTAGAACATGTTTTTCAGAATCTCTTAATTTTTTTTTTGAAAGAAAATTTAAAATTATTCATCGTATAGAAAACAATCAAAATGGCTTACTTATGGCCAGCCAAGTGAACGTAGAATTTGACAAATTATATTATACATATATGCAAGTAAACACGTACATTGTGATCGGAAAGGAAATTACAGAAAGAAAAGTAGGAAGAAAAAAAAGAATTTAAGTTAGGATGCCTCACTAACTGAGATCTACACGTCAGAATATGCTAGGTTATACTGTTGGACAATGAAAAACTTTTTTCACCATTGTCACGAAGCCGGGGAAAATAATTAGTCTCAACTTGGTGCCTGAAGATTGTTTTGGGTACCAGTACCGCGATCAGAACCACTTCTTTGCCTGATTCTTGGAATAATTATAGGCCAACAACACACTAGAACAAAGAGTAACTCCATCATGAATGTCATCATTGTGATCCATATAAATATGATTATCTTCCAATGCCATATAATCCTTTTGAATAGGGGAAGTTCTGCTTCAATAAATATGGATGACTCGTATATTTGAGGAATGCCAGCACCGGGTAGATATTCTGCTCGCTGCTCAAGGGTTACTTTTAGGCATGAAATAGGTACATCCCCTTCAACAAAGCCTCTCATCTTGATGTTCAGGGTCTGGGTTTCTGATATATAACCAGTAACAAGAGGAGCAATCTTGAGGAAAGTCGTTATTAGGCGGATAGGCTCACTTCTGAATTTTAAAATGCAAGGTTGGCTCGAACTTGAAATTGTTTTACCATTAGAAGATAAGAAGTCTACCCTGATCTATAAAATGATACAAGTCAAAGAAGAAACTCAAAAGCAAGCAACGGGAAACTATGAACTGTAATTATCATTATAGTTCTAATTATTTAAGCAGGAAGATACAAGAACAAGGAAAAGACAATTTTTATAGAATGCACCTATATTTTATGCTTAAAGAAATTATGATCAAACAGTCCACAAGTACAATTAATCCCCTTCTTTGTCAAATAAATGTAACTGTTATTTTAAAACACCCACACCATAATGATAGGAAACATAGCAAATACACAAAATAACATGCCAACAAAAAAAATAAAAAATAAAAATAAAACTTGAGCTAAAAGTTTTAGGTTTTAGCTATTATGGAAAGGCCAAAGAAATGCGTTAGTCTCCAACACAACTTTCACAGGAAAGTCCACTTGGCCTTTATCATGGAAGAGGATTGTGCTGATAACTCCCTACCCTGTCGTTATCTATTAAAATTTAACAATTAGACAAGGGCGCCAAGAATTGGACTCTTAGCCAGTTGAATCCCTTCCAGATGAGTTCAATGGCTGCGCTTGAGCCACAGCAGCACAGCCGTCATAGAAGCTTTTGAACCCATCTCAAATAAAACTAATTCATGAAATTCTAAAATCATGTTTACAACACTACAAAATACTCAAATAACGCAAACAAGATGATGTTGGGAGTTGGAACTAGCACCAACTTGCCACTCAAACCTTTTGATGTTGCCATATAGAACTATCTTCAAAAGTATACACTACTGACAACAAATAGCTTATTCTCCATCACAGTTCCCTACACCAACATAGAACTTTCCCATTCGCATTTGAATTAAGAGAAGATGCAGAACTAGTAAAACTTCACAATGACAGGCTAAAAAGAAAATATGCAGAGAAGTTCATGTCAAGCCAAAGCTTCTTTAGATTGAAATGAATTAGATAGATACCTGAAACACCCCAAGATTTTTGTTGTAATCTGACTCTGGCACCAGCAATGAAACAGTGACCTGCACCTTTTGTTTAGCAGGTATAATCCTTCCACCCATCCACTTACTAACTACTATGTCATTTTCCGAAGCTTGCCCGACACCAACACCAGCACATGATATTATAGGAACATATGCAACAGGACTCTGCTTGGTGTAGTCAAAATTCAAAACTTGCCTCATCTGAAATGGCTTCTCCACCAAGAACTTCACCAAAAACACACTAACCACAATTGAGGAAACTAAAAGAGCAAACAAAATGCAACAAACATAGATTGACCACAAGAAACCCCATCCACACCTAAAGGCAACATCCAACAATGACTTGTGCTCCCTGAACCATCTCTGAGCTGAAGGACCAACACAACACAACACTCTACCAAATATCCCCAACAAAAAACCCTTGCCCTTTCTCAATGTTCCAAATGGGTCCACAAAAAACATGCATGCATGAAACATAAACAACATAGGGCACCTTATCAACACAAAGAAAATTTTGATTTGAAACAAAATTGCCCTAATCAACAACCCTACAACATATTCAAGCCAATTCGAAGGGGAATCACCGAGTTCCGCCGCCGAGTCAGCGGAATCGCCGGGTCCATCTTCGTTTGCAGATGTAGTTAACGTCGATTCTACGGTCACAACACTTGGAGATGGAAAGGAACACACTTCCCCTTCATATGACTCGCGTATCTCCTCAAAATTCTCATTTTCCTTCAATTTTTCAAGATTTCGATTCCTTCGGGAGCTGGTGCTGGCACCGTTGATCAAATCGCTCTCGGAATCGGCGTCTGTCGATTCCCTAACAGGCGATACACGGCGAATTGAACGGCGCCGGATTGTGGTCGCCGAGGTTGTAGGGTGAGTGTCAGGGCCGCAAACAATGGAAGCAGAGGCGGAAGATTCCGGCGAATTATCGGCGATGTCGGAGCAATGGTGAAAGGGGCAGTGATGAATCGCATCGAAGAAAACGTCGTCGTCTTTGTCGTTTGGGCCTGGCAATGACAGGTCCATTGAAGATGGTGATGTGATCAGATTGTGAACTTCAGATAGTTGTTCATTTCCAAAGCCCCAAAATTGAGAATTTGCTTTCTGAAAAAGAAAAGTATATTCTTTTAAAACAAAATTTGCATTTCACTCCTTTTTTTTAAAAAAAAAGAAAATGAGATTTTGTTAAAAATTTATAAATTTTGTTAAAGATTTTTACGTTTGCATTTTTTTTTCCTTCGAGTGATCTTATCATTTATAAAAGTTCAAGAAAAAGAATTCATTTTGGTCACATACGACAATCAATTCGTGGCATCCTTTCATTGCATGAGTGTTTGTAGGCCTAGCTTTATTGTAGACAAATTTTTTTTTTTTTTTTAAGAATTAAATACCTTACCTAATATAAATTATTCAAATTTCTCACCAGACCAATTGCTTCAAATTTGTGTTCTATTATGTACTTTACACGGACATATGTTGATAGATTTATAATTTAAAAAATGTTGATTACACAAAACTCATACATTCACATCTTTCATATTTGCTTATATGGTAAAATTAAAATAATCATATAAAAAATAGAAAAGTGATGTGTATTTCTACTACCGTTTTCAATTCAATGATGTATTAGATTTTTTTTAGTAGATATGTGTTCTATTTTTTTATTACGAAGTTTTAGTAATATTGTTACAAAAAAAGTTTTAAGTATCATTTACAAGATCTTGTAAGTTGTAACTAACCTGTCTTCGATTCTCTCTTCCTTTTTTCTGACGTTCTCTTTTTTAATTTGTGGTTTGATATTTTTCATTAAGTTTTTCTATGATGAGTTACCTCCTATGCTAGCATTTTAAGTTTCTTTTTCATTTTTCTTCAGAGTAATTTCTTCAATAAATATACATATATATTTGATAAATGTTAGAAAAAATTAGAAAATTTCGCGTTATAATGTCTTAGATTTGCATCATATTATGATAAATATGAAGTTTTTAACTTTAGTTTAATTAATAAGGAAAAGTAATACCCTCCTTACACACAACAATACTTTATGTGAAAGTCTTTACAATAAAAAAATGCGTCATCATCAAGATAATTTTAGGATTAAAAACAAAGTTATAAATATTAGTCTCAATATAAAGTTTGATTATAATTTTAGCACTGTTGTAAAACCCGGCCCGACCTGGCTGAGTCGACCCAAAATCTGGTGAACCGATCATCAGACCGGTTCGGGTTAAGCATTGAACCAATCATGCATCGACCCGGTTAAACTCGGACAAACTCGACCAAACCCGGTGACCTGGTCGGGTCATGCATTTAAAAAAAAAATCAAAATTGTTTCATCTTATCAAAAAAATGTAAATCTCATTTTAAAAACTTTTTGTAATTTTATTTACTAGTATACTCTTCTACAATGACCTCTTAGTTTTCAATACTGAAGTAATTTGTGGAATAATAAATTAGAGAATGTGACATATGTCATTTTAATATAGTTGAATTTGAAAACTATAAGTTCAATGTCATTGAGAGGTATGTTTATTGAGATTCTGAGTTGCAATTTAAATTGACATAGTAATAGCATGCACTTTTATTTATTTATGCTTCATGTTTTTTAGCTTATTCAGTGAACCTTATTTAATTCATTTTAGATATGGATAATATAATGAAATTTATATGTTCATATTTAAATATATTTTTATATATCTATATATATCCGGGTCAACCGGTCCGACCAGTGACTCAGTACCCCGACCGAGTCGATGCCCGGTTCGGGTTTAATAACACTGATTTTTAGTATATATGTGAAACCATTTTTCTTTTAATTATCTAAGGAGTTTTGGGAAACAATTTACCTACTACATAAAATTTGGTGATGATTTATGACTCTATTAATTTCAATTTCTCCCAATTCCATCATGTAGATATATCCTATGAAGCACCGATACGCGTTTTCGATACGTTATTCGATGATACAGGATGTAGATTACCAAACAATACGTTTTCGATACGCGTATCCGATACGTTGGAAAAAAAATTTAAAGAGTATCGATGCTTCTTAGGATATATCCCTCCAAGACAGTAGAGTATGACAAGAATAGTTGGAAACCTGATCTACTGCTAACACTTATACATATCAATTACAAGGGATAACAATACCGAATGTTAATTAGAAGACCTAACTCTATTCTTGTCTTGGTTTGAATCAGATCCCTAACACAACAATTACTTTATAATTCAGCCTTCCTTCAATGTGGGAATTTCAACCAAGCCTCCATCTTTAAGCCTCGTTCCTGCAAAATCAACAATGTCTAGATGGTCAATTAGTCTCGTATATATCACTTTGTTTTCCCACAACAATATATTCCTACTAAAACATCATAAATTCATAATGTACTATTGTAGAGATTCACTTTTTTTATTTTGTAATATACTCATTATTATCCTTGGATGGAAAGGAAATAAGAGGGAAAAAAAAAAAGTAAATATCCTTTTTGTCCTCAACAAATTTCACAATCCCTACTTTAGTCTCTACCAAATAAAAAAGCTATTCGTGGTACCTAAGAAATTCAAAATTGACACATTTAATTGAAATCGTAGTCCCTTACAAATTCAAAAAAAGACCCATATTAGTCCTTCAAAATGACTAAAATGGGTCCACTTTGAATTTCTTTTGGACCACGAATAGTCTTTTTATTTGATAGGACTAAAGCGGACATCGTAAAATTTGCTTGAGGACCGAAAAAGGGTATTTACTCAAAAAAAAAAAAAAAACCGTTCCCCCATGTGATGGAAAATAATAAAGGTGGTAAAACACTAAAGCCATACAGATCCTAATCTATACCTCCATCACAAGACAGATTTTATCAATTTGCAATATATTCATGACTACAGATATCCCTAACCATTATTAACCAACCAGTATATAAACAAACACCCAGTTTGTACAAGAAATGCTGTAACCAGAAATCCACCCATTAAATAAATTTTCATCTAGAACAACAGTTCTCTAATTCAAGTTGCAAAACTGAGTCCCTGAAAGAATGCATAAAACTATATTCAGAAAGGAGTGTGTGTTCTTCAATAGGTATTGCTAAGTCATAAACAATATAGTCTTAAAGGGAACGCAAAGGAAAAAAATGCATATAATAATTCATGTGATTTCATCAAACTAATTAAGAATGATTAATAAACACTAACCAATTTGGCTGCCTTTTTGAGTGTTCATAGAAACTTTCTTTGGGCTCAAAATGTTGAGTTGTCCAGCTTGTCAATCTCCAAAAAGCAAGCATGGAGGCATCAAACTTCATGACTTATAAACCTCAATGTATCATCAAATGGCATAAATTGGGTTTGCTTCTATTTCAGTTTCTGACCCTGAGTTTAATCCACTCATTAAGTTATTCTCTTTCTTCCTCGCTCTTTGATAACGTTTACTCTTAAGCACATAATATGTCATAGTACCAAGAACACTTACCATCATAACACCCCCCAAAATGGTGACAAACATTGCAGCCCACTTGTGATGCGGACCAACTACTATATAAGATGCTGATGTGAATGCAATGGTGGTGCAAATAGATGCTAACCACATCATCTTATTGATTACCTTGGTAACTCTCATCTCAGACTTTGTTCTCCCTCTTACGAGTGTGATTTGAACCACCACAACAGCCAATGATGTAAAAAGCGCAATAGCATTGGAGATAAAGAAGATATCAAAAGCTAATGTGCCTACCATCACTGCCACCCCATTATCATCATCACCACCAGGAACACTAAAAATAGAAGCAAATGCAACTGTGGCAAAGAGAACTGCAACCACTGTTACTGAGTTAGTAGCATTGTTGATACCTGCCCTGTGCAACTCGCGTAGCTCCATGGCAATCCCATTCACATTTTTATTAGTTTTCCGAGTTTGTTCAAGCTGTGTACGAACGTCCTTTCTAATCTGTGTCACAGTGTTCCTAAGCTCATCCCTTGGCTGGTTGAGATCATTGGCTTTAACTGCACCATAACGAACAAGGGAATCTTTGATGTCTAAGATTTCTTCAGATGGTGGGAGTGCTTCAGCAATATCAAGAGCTGTTTTTTGGTCCCTTGTTAGGACATTCACATTGGTTTCTGGAAGAAGCAATAGCTCATTCACTATCTGTATGAAATTATGGCATCATAACTGTTAATTAAATTGATACAGATTCTCTACATTATTCTACGTATATGTATAGGCTAATTAAGATAGCTATGTAATAGGTCTAGAATCATGTATAAGAATAGGAAATCAAAAATCAACCAAGCAATAACAACAACCACTATATTGAATAGAAACATTATATATTTTGTTGATCCTACATGAATGAAAGAAATAGAAACTCTGTCTCTCTCTCTCTCTGTATATAGCATTATATATTTGCTACCCCCGTATGAATGAAAGAAATAGAAAGTCATAATATATATATTGTTGGGTTTGCTCTTTTACTAAAGCCCAAATGGGTTATTAGTATGAGAAGAGCCCAAGGAACCTAGAGCCCAATGAGCTAGGGTTTCTTGGAATCCATATAAATAGTACCTCTTAAGTCATCAGCCTAAAAAAAGGTCCTTTTTGTGAGAAAGAGGCAAGCTCTGAATCTAATCAGTGCCCACACACTTCCCCTTCCTCCTTGAGATATAGTTTGGAAGATCTGCCACAGTCCAGCTTCAAGGAGGTTGTTCGTGCTGCAGCGCTGAGGTGAGTTGTTCGTGAAGAGGAATCCTACAAGGGAAGATTCTACACGAGACCTACGCACCGAGAGGTAATTGTGAAACAAGGATGATTCGGTAAGCATACCAATGTACTAGGTCCTAAACCGCTTCCGCATAAATCTAAGATTTCCTACAATTGGTATCAGAGCCTTGACTGTACATTGGTATGTGAATCTAGTTTCACTATTCATGTAATTAGTTTTGCTTCTTGAAATGTGGCACCTAGGGTTCTAGGATTATGGTATGAATCTAGCATGTGTATTTTACAATTCATTTCATAAAAGTTTAAATTTTAATCGGTAAAAATGCTTTATTCCATGGTTAGGGTTTCTCGTGTATTTCTCGATTTGTAACAAGGAGGCTAATCCCATATGATTAGGTTTCCTCCTTGCTGTTTTTATTTATTTTCGGAATTTCTGTGTATTTTTTCAATATTTTGTAAAAGTTCAAGATCGAGAAACCGCGAGTAAGATGCGCAGTCAGTACTGTCAGAGACTTTTCGAGGACTTACCGATCTTGGAATGGGGCGATCTATATATGGTTGGAAAGAGGACGGAAATACGAACGCAACGGTGGGTGGATCGCCTCCATCGGAGATCACACGCTCGCCCACGCGCCTCCACAAGAGGCTGAGAGTGGCCGCCACTCTCTGGAAAAGAATGGGAGAGTGAGGGAGCCTCCAGCCACCTTTTTGGGTGGTTCCGGCGGCGGTGCACTCGTCTCTACGTGGCGGTCCTTCCCCTGGAGTTTCAGCCTGATTTGACTTCGGGTGACGGCACGGCAGACCTGACGGCTAGGGTTCCTCTTTCGCGTCCTAGGGTTTCTCGCCAAAGGATTGGGTCTTTGGGCTTTTGGGCCCATGAAACCCTGAAGGGGCTTGAGACAGATACTATGGGCTAGGCGAAAGTCGAATTCCAAAGTTGTATTATTTAATTTTATTTTATTTTATTTTCTTTAAAATAGGAAGGCCATGGATTAAAGTAATTATGATTATTTACAAAAAAAAAAAAGTAATTATGATTTATTATTTAATGCTTTTATTGATTGGTATAAATTATATGATTGATAACATGCTTTATTGCGATAACATGCTTTATTGCGATAACATGCCATATAGAATAGGTGGTGCCATATTGTTGCATAACTTGTATGATTGCATGAGCATAATAGCTATTATGTCTTCAGCGACTAGTATGATAGTTATTATGGGATTATTTTGATTTTAAATCATCCTAAGAAATTAATTAATAATTATTATGATTTTTATTAAAAATGTAGATTAATAATTGAATTAATTAATTTTGGATAATTAACATCAAGACAAATAATCATTATGGAAATTATTTTGATTTCAAATTATCCTCATAAATGATAATTATTATGATTGTTGCAATCTAGATTAATAATTAAGTCAGCTATTTGGATGATTTAAATCTAGAAAAATAATTAGAGATAATTTCCTAAGAGAATTCTTTTATTTTGCGAGTAATTTGTGATTTTCTGAAATGGTCATGGAATAACACACGTTGCATACAACCTTCATGTATCATGATTGTTTGGAGCACACGCTGACGTAAAGTGACCGGATTTCAGGACCTTAATGCTTTCAAAGTTATGTTAAGCTTAGTGCACGTTTATCGGCGCTCTTACTTATATAGTTTTTGAAATCGAACAAAGGATATTCTCAATTAAATAATTCTTGGAAATTAGAAAATGTTGCTTATGTTGAATGGAAGGAGATTTAAATTAAGAAATTAATTTAACCTTCAAGCGCATTATAAGGACCATTAATAAAATAATCATTTGAAGTCCCATCGAATAAGCATGATTGGATTTTATTAGATTGGACCTAAATAATTATGGGAGGAGATTTAAATTAAGAAATTAATTTAACCTCCAGGCGCATTGTGGGCCTATCAATAAAATAATCATGTGAGGCCCCAACGGATAAGCATGGTTGGATTTTATTGGGCCTTAATAATTTCAAAATTTTAATAAAGTATTGTACGACCCATCGTCGATAATACTAAGTTATTAAAGATACTTTTGAAATTAAACAATGAATTCGACTGGCTTATGAAAATTCTCAAACAAAAATGTTGAATGGGTGAAGGTTTTAAAAATTATTTAATTTTAAAACCTGCGGGCTCCATTTGTGGGTTTATTAGTGAAATGGTTATCGCTGAAGCCCCATCGGATAAGGATAATCAGATTTCACTAGATTAAATCTTAATAATTTCAAAATTTTAGTAAAGTATTGTTCGACCCATCGTCGGCAATGCTTAGACACTAAGGATAATTTTGAAATTAAACAATGGTTAATTACATTCAACTTTGGTAAAATTGTTAACCCTCCCATCGAGGCTCTGGCAATGGCACTGAAGGCCCAAATAACAATTTTGATTTTTACAAGTGACTTGCCCATCGTAAGCCTTGTAAAGATAAACTGAAGGATTGTTAACAATAAACAAGAGTAGTCATGAGAATCTACTCGCGCTTCGATTGTTTATTGCATTATTTGTTTGTAATTGTGTGCTTTATATGTTTTTCAGAAAATATCTTAGAAATGATTTTGAGTCGAAAACCTCTAGATGGAACCAACTATGAATAAGTGAAAAGCAAATTTTTGATATTGTTCTAAAACATGAAAGCTAAAATTTGTCCTGACAATGCGAGGGCCATGCAACCTGCAGAGGATGCGTCTAAGGAAACTAAGATGCATTTCTCATATTAGGAAATGGCAGATATGGTAGTTCGTTGTTATATTATTGTCAGTCTTTCCAAATACTTGCAGAAGCAAGTGTACATGATTAAGAGTGGAGTAGAAATGCTTCAGACTCTTAATGACATGTTTGCTGCGTCTAGCAGCTTTGCTAGACAGAATGCAGTCGGTGCATGTTTTGCTAAGAGTCTTGTTAAATCCAAAGGGAAACCCAAGGGTGGTAACAAGAACAAAATGACTTGGTTATCAGTTGTCAAACCAGTTGCTATGAAGAAGCCGCAAGGCAAGTTCTTCAAGTGCAGACTGAAGGGATACTGAAAGAAAAATTGTCCAGAGGTGATGAAAAAAACCTGACATGGGCATATCAAGGCCTGATCAGTGAATGAATTATTGATTCAGGAATCACTGATTATGTTTGTTACTCTTTGTAGTAGTTCAAACATGGCATACCTGTCAGCAATGGACATAGATATTTTAAGCTTGAAAATGGGAACTTGTGTCTGCATTTGCAGTAGGACAAGTTATTTATACGACTATGGTTTTGAGTGACTGTTTATTTGTTCCGAATTTCAAGAGGAATTCAATTTTTGTTAGTTGTTTTGGTTAAAACATGGTTTGACAATGCAATTGATTCCTCAGTTACATTTCGAAGTTTATCTTCGTCTTGTTTTGTTCTGGTACATTGTTTAAATAGTCTTTATTACCTATGTCCTATACCCTTTTTTAAATTTGTTATGTTGAATGGAAAGGATGATGAACAAGAACTTTCACCAAAGAAATAAAAGTTTCAAATGAAACATAACTTTTGCCTTTGTGATTGAGTCATATTATCTCAAGTAGGAAACATATTTTAGTTAAAAGAGGGACTGAAAGTTCAATAATCTTTTAACTAACAGCTACATGTTAGTCCTATTTGGAAGGTAAAGTGGCCAAGCAATCCTACAAGGGCCAAAAAGGTTTGCGCAACTATTCAACTGGAACTGGTACATACTAATGTATGTGGACCAATTAGTGTTCAGACCAGAAGAGGTGATGAGTACTTCATTATATGAATGTTTACTCTGGATTTGGACAGATGAACCAAGTACGCTATAAGTCTAAAGCTTTTGGAAATTTCCAAGAGGTTTAAGTCTGAGGCAGAAAATCATGTAGGTGTTCAAATCAAAACACTTTGCTCTACTGAAGTGTTTGGCTACCTGTCTGGTAATTTCAGGTCTTACCTGATTTAAGAGGGGATAATTTTTGTAACTGTCAACTCTAAGAACGCATTAGTTGAATGAAGTTGTAGTATGCAAAAATCAAACATTTCTAGACTTGGTGAAGATCATGTTCAGTTATTCATCTTTGTCAATGTTGTTCAAGGGAGATGCCTAAGAAAAGGAAATGTACCTTCTTAACTTGGTTCCGTCAAAGTTTGTTGTAAAGACACCTAAAGAATTATGGAAAGGGTGCAAGCCCAGATCAAACCATATTCGGATTTAGGGTGCTACGGCACACGTCCTACAACAGCAGTCAAATGAGATGGAATCTTGTATGGAAGAGTGCATATCTTTTGGCTACCCTAAGAGAACTAGGGATGATTTTTATTTAGTCTTAAGGACAAGATAATCTAAGTGAGCACTCACATGATTTTCTTAAAGGAGGACTAGATGAGAAATTATAAGCTCTTAAGTTCAGTTATTCTTGGTGAGATTTATCTCAGCTCAAGAATTTCCAGAATCTCTAGAAGCTTCATCCACTGTTCCCTTGATTGTTCAAGAGGGGATAGATATATCTCTAAGTGAACAAACAAGAGAACCATGATAGAAAATTCAACATGATAATATATAAGTGAAACTAGTAGAAATATTAGTATCACATGTAAAGGAACAATATCAAGGATAAGCGGATCCTCAAGAAATTAAAGATCCATCATTTGACCCATTCTTTGTTTTACCTATAAATACACAATGTCTAATGCAGTACATTCGTAGTGGGAGAGAACCTTGTTAACTCTCAAGTTGTCTCTTGTTGAGTGACATTGATCCTACTAGTTACGATAATGCAGTAGAAGATGTTGTTGATCAAGTGTTGCTCAAGCTATGAACAATGAGATGAAATACTTGTATTTCAACTCCGTTCGGTCCTAGTAAAAACACCAAGAGGGGTAAAACCCACAAGGTGCATGTGGACATAAAAGGCAAAGAGAGGATGGACAGGAAGGTGAAAACCTTCAAAGCTAGCTTGGAGGCAATTTTTGCCAGACGCCATGCTTGAGTCTATCCAGATTCTCTTAGTTGCTATAAGTCTCAATTATGAGATTTCATTTTGGGAGTTGAATGTCAGGATATCTACATACATCAACCAAAAGGGTTTATAGCAAATGGGTAGGAACACACGGTATGCAAGTTGTGAAAGTCTATTTCATAGACTTAAGCAAGCATCCAGGTCTTGAAACATCAGTTTTGATCAGGTTATCAAAATTTTGATTTTGAGAGAACCTTGATGAATGATGTGTATTTGTATGTAAAGGATACAACGGAAGACAGTAGCTTTTCTAGTACTTTATGTAGATGATATGCTCCTTATTAGAAACAATGTGGAGGTAATATCAAGCATAAAGAGTTGGCTAAGTTAGTGTTTTGGTATGGAAGTACTGGGGAAGCCAATTATATTCTTGGTATAAAACTCTTATGAGGCCGGAAGAATAAGTTGTTGGCATCACCTCAGGCTACTTACATTGACAAAATCCAAAATTCAACATGAGAATTCTAAGAGAAGAATTATAATTCTCAGATGTGGAATTCATCTTCCTAAGGAGTGACCAAAGACTTCTAAGAAGGAAGAATGCATGAGCAAGATATCTTATGCTTTGGCAAAGGTAGACTCACGCATATCATGTTGGGCGTTAAACCAGACATCTGTCACGTAGTGGGAGTAGTGAGATAGTACCATTTTGAATCTAGAGGAATACTAGATTACTGTTAAGCATGTACTCAAGTATCTTTGGAGAACGAGAGATTATATGCTGGTATATTCTAGTGGGAGTCTTGAAAAGCTGAGTTTTCAAAAATTCAGTTATTTCAAGTGGATATTGACTCAAGAAAATCAACCTCGAGCTATGAGTTTTTCACTAAACTCAGATAGCATTAGAGGTGGATCTTGTAGACCCAGTTACTAAGAGTTTGCCTGAACTTGTGTTCAAGAGGCATGTTATTTCTTTGGGTCTTAGGAGGATCCCAGACTTGCATTAAGCAAGTGGGAGTTATTGGTTTCATTGTGCTCTTGGAGTAAGACGATGAAACAATAAAATAATTTTCTGAATTTCGTAAATAAGGTTTTATTTATTTATTTTGCGCACTATTTACAAACATAAAGGTCCGGATCAAATTGTGGAGTATATGATCATATGGATACGTTCATGGAGGACATGATCATAGGATCTCACAATTGATGAATGGAGTCACAGCCGTTAAATAAAGTTGGGCACTTTATTCAGGCTGCAATATTTTATGAAATGATTTTGTCCGAATCATTGTAAAATATTGGTGTGAATTTAACATTCACATTGAAAGGATCAAGGAGAGATTTGATTAAGGTTGTTTTTCTGTCATAAGGTATCAAATCTCCAGTTAACTATAGTTATGTGATTGCTCTTAATCCTGAGTTTATTATAAATAGGTAATCAAATAGTTTTCATTCTTTGATTTACCAACGGGTGAGGTTCGATCTATTGACGGCCAATAACTCGGTATTTTGGGAGTGAGATTATTTGATTATCGGTATTTATGAGATAAACAACATGGAATTTGTAGGATATGTCCCCTTGATATGTTTCGGTACTTGGATATTAAAGACACTGGCCAGTGCATGTAATCCATTAGAGAAACTATCATAGTCAAAGGAATAAATAATTGATTGAGTTACAGAAAACTTGTTAATCAATTATAGATATTCTACAAAGGGGCGATGCATATTCATGTTATAAGTGTTGTTAATCTTGGAGTTCAAGTTCGGGCTTTTAGTGGAGTAGCACCGAATTAGATAATCATTCGTTGATTATCAGGAGCCTTGATTAATAACAGATGGTAGATCCCCAAGCTAGCTTGAGACAAGGGATGGGGTATTTTTCGGATAGATGATGACTTATGGGTTACATGATCTTGGGTTTTACGACTCAAGTTTGTATCCAAAAGAGCAAGTGGGAGATTGTTGGGTTTGCTCTTTTACTAAAGCCCAAATGGGTTATTAGTATGAGAAGAGCCCAAGGAACCTAGAGCCCAATGAGCTAGGGTTTCTTAGAACCCATATAAATAGTACCTCTTAAGTCATCAGCCTAAAAAAAGGTCTTTTTGTGAGAAAGAGGCAAGCTCTTAATCTAATCAGTGCCCACACACTTTCCCTTCCTCCTCGAGAGATAGTTTGGAAGATCTGCCACAGTCCAGCTTCAAGGAGGTTGTTCGTGCTGCGGCGCTGAGGTGAGCTGTTCGTGAAGAGGAATCCTACAAGGGAAGATTCTACATGAGACCTACGCACCGAGAGGTAATTGTGAAACAAGGATGATTCGGTAAGCATACCAATGTACTAGGTCCTAAACCGCTTCCGCATAAATGTAAGATTTCCTACATATATGACTTACTATTTCTTCCTTTCACACGGGGGCTACAAATAAATATGTAATGCTTCTATTGAACAATACCTCTACCCTCTTTTTCCTGGTGGCTATATGTAACGCAGTATTGCCAAACTTATCTGGCAGCATGACAATTGCTGCATCTGCATCAAGAATTAGCTTCACCACTTCAAGACTCACTCCCTTCACAGCCATATGCAGTGCAGTTTGTCCTTTCTTATCAGTTCTTCTAGCAAGTTGTGGATCCTTCATAAGCAATATTCTTACAACATCAACATGTCCTTGGCGGCCAGACAAATGGAGTGCATTCTTTCCGTTGGATTTAGATAATTCCAGTTGACTAGGATCATATGACAACAAAAGATCAACAATACTTGTGTGCCCTCTTGTCGCTGCTGATATAAGAGGGGTTGCATTTGATTGGGAAAATGTCTTTATTAGCCCCGGATCATGATCTAGTAGCAACTGAACAATGGCTGCAAAAAGGGAATTTAAATTCTTTTAATACAAAAAATAATAATTACTCCTACTTAGTAATTAATTTGGAATAGTTATTTTATATATGAAGCAGGAAAAACTCAATTAGGACACTATATTGCAGCATATTATCACTCGATTTCAAGATAACTATTCTTCGAGCGAGCTTCTTGGTATTTTTTTATAAAGGGATGTGAAAAAATAAGATGTATTTAGTTTTCAACTATCTCTCATTTTTTCCTTTTGATGTGGCAGTCTGAAACGACTTTCATACTAAGCGTTTTAACAGCAAAATTTTCACCATCCCAGTTTTACTTATACCAACAAGTAGATCCAAACTATGGATATTCGCCATTCTCCTTATCAATTTGAAATTTTTTTAAAGGAAAAAGCACTAGAAACAAAAAGTTATATAGGGAGGAAAACTTTGAAGGTTCTTAATATGTGTGTTCAACTTATTTAATTTATGAGGTACAAGATTAGTCTGGATCAAAACAAATCAAAATTACATAATATAATAGGTCAGTTTACACATGAGAACTAAACAGGTGGGATGAGAATATGTATTCGATCCTCTTCAGTACTCCATAAAAAATTTATGAAATTATCGGGGGATACTCTCAAAAAATAAATAAAAAATACATTACATATACATCTTAAAAGTCACAAATGCACATTAGTTACGAGTCAGATGTAATTCCTAAAAAATTGAAGTCCACAACTTTTAACACAAAACGGGAGTGTTCTAATCTATGTAATGGACCCCAATTTAGCTATATGAAATGGGCATTATCTACCTTCATGTAAATCTCTATACAAATAAAGGGTTAAGTCTCATAAATATAATTCTTGAAACTTTAATCTCTCTAGCTGTCGGCCCTTGATCTTAGCTTACAGCTTCTATTATGTACACAGTGATCTGCCACTACACGCGATGGTTTCCTCCATAAATCTCAATAGTTTACGGATCCAACTGATCTGTGCTGATAGTGATAAACAAACAAATTGATGTATCCCCAGATGGATAAACAGATTTTGCACCTGTTATTATATAGGGTAAGGATTCGTTTACAAATTTCTTTTACAAATTACACTAAGTATGATCGGTCATACACTCATGATTAGTGTGTGACCGGTTAGACATAATGTAAGTGTATGACCAATTAGACATAGTGTAGTTTGTGTAAAGAAACTTGGGAAACACCACTCCAAAAACTAACTCAAAGGGTGGAAGTGCCCGAGGCCTTATAAAGGCCACATTAGTTGCTCGTACAACCAATGTGGACTATATATCTCAACACGCCTAGTTGCTCATACAATCAATGTGGACTATATATCTCAACACGCCTAGTTGCTCATACAACCAATGTGGGACTATATATCCCAACACGCCCCCTCACACGAGAGCCCACTAGGCTTGAAGCGTGGATTATGCACAAGCTCAATTTTTGGTTTACCTTTTTGTGCTTTTTATTTTAATTCCACTTTAAAGAAAGGGGCTGTGAGGATCGAACTTGTGACTTTGTAGTCACTCAAGCTTTGATAGCATGTAAAGAACTTTGGAATACACTACCCCAAAAGCTAGCTCTAAGGGTGGGAGTGTCCAAAGCCTTATAAAGGCCACATTAATTGCTGATACAACCAATGTGGGACTATATATCTCAATAGTTTGTAATTAGGGGTGTTAACGGGCCGAGCCGAGCCGAGTTTTGATCTTAAAAGGCTAAGCCTATTTTTAAATGTGTCAGCTTGATCAAGCCTGTTACCTGTTATGAATATAATTTCAGCCTGTGGCCTGTCTTATTTATAAAAAGTAAAAGCCTTGGTTTAACCTGTTAGCCTGTTTAAAAAAAATAAGACAACAAAAATTTATCCAAACAAAATATACAATCAACAACACTAGTAATTCCATAAATATTCTTAAATTTAATGTATATCCAAATAGCATAATATAAACCAAAATCATTCAAAAAGTCTGTTTAATTAATAAAATAGGATGAAATGAATTGAGGAGAGAAAGAGAACTATCACAAGTAGTATAAAAAATATAAAATAAAAAAAATTAATATATTAGGCCAGCCTAAAAGGCTTTAAGGTCGAGCTTTTGAATTGGAGCCTGAGGCTTTTTTATTAAACGAGCTTTATACAATTCCGAGCCTGGTTCCAACAATCAATTTTAAACATGTAAAACGAGTCGAGCCAAAGGCCCTGTAAGGCCCGTAGCTCCTTTAGCACCCCTATTTGTACTAGCTTGTAAACAAAAAATTTGTAAAATGTAAATATAACATTTCCCGTTATATGTATATATATATATATATATATACCTTGGTTACCACGGCTAGCAGCAATATGCAAAGGATCAAAACCGAGATCATTTTTGAGCGAAACACCCTCTGGAGAAGCATATTTCAAGAGCTCCTTGACAACATCAAGGTGCCCTTTATCAGATGCAACGAACAAAGCCGTCTCTGCTAACTCATTGACATCATTGACAATAGCAGACCTTATCTCAGCAACCTCTGCATCAAAATCAGCACTGCTAAGAGTTCCAACCATCTGAGCATCAATCATATTGAGAATCTTCCTAACAGCAACAGCATCGCCACGCTGCGCAGCCAAGTGGAGGTCGGTGTCATTGTGGCGACCTGTGACTTGCCTCACATACTTCTTCTTACCCACATTATTGGATTTTGATGAAGACAGAGATTTGCCCGATGATGAGTTAGAAACAAGCAGAGGGTTACCGGAACTGGAAAGAACCAAAGTTGGTCTTCTTGGAGTATTGGGTTCAGAACCATTAACATTAACAACAATCTTGTCCATGTCCATGCATGAATGAATAAGAAAATTAATGAAGCTGTTATTCACAACCATGTATATATTATATATGAGGCAGTGACTCAAGCTTTTGATCCGCACTATAAGCCGAAGCATGTTCCAATAAGAAATGCGTTGCTTTAGTTTTGCTGTGTCATTATATTACACCTGTCAATGTAGTAAAAAAATTAAGTTTAATTTTATTTAGATTTTGAGTAAATTAATCTTCTTTTACTTCTTCTTTTTTTATGTTTTTGAATTTTCGAATATTGTTTTGAAATTTTGAATAAATATCTTAGATATATATCAGAAAAAAAATGAAATAAAGAAGCTTTACTGAAAGGAAAATATTACTCTCTTTTTACATAAGATATCTTCTCTCATGTTCTCTCACTTCGATTTTCGTATTCCACCTTTTTCTTTTTTTCCTTGTAATGATGGGACCCACTTATTTTCTCTCTTTATGTTAAATGAGACTAATAAAACCTTTACTGAAAACTCTAAGTTCATGAATCTAGATGCTTTTATATTTTAATATAGAGGAAGGTTATATACTTACAATCTATTTTTTTCTTATAATAATTTATTTTTTATTTTTACATAGAGAATGTTATTTTATAACTGTTGATTTGTTTTTGATCTAATAATAAAAATATTTATAATAAGTTATAATTAAGAGAAAATAAGTTGTAAGTATATCTATGATGCACCGATATTTCAAAACTCTGACGTGATGTGTCATATCCGACACTTTCCGACTTGACACTTTCCTACACTCCGACATGCGTTACAGAGATTAAAAAAGGGTTTAAAGGTTGTGTTACATTGCGTTTTTAGTTCCTACTATTAGATTCGTTGGATTATGATTACCATTTTATTGAGTTTAATATAAAAATTTGGAATATTTTATATTTCTTTGCAAAATTAATGGGTATTATAAGTTTAGCTTTATTTTTTTGTTAAATTATTGAATATTAAATATAATATACATTACATAAATTAAAAATATTATTTAATATCAAAACGTGTCATAACATATCGAAATCTAATATTTTTTAGAATTAACGTGTCGGAGTGTCATATCATACGTCCCTTGTCGGTATCGGTACACTATAAGGATAAAAGTTACTTTAGGGATAACAGACTGATCTTCTCTACAGATTCACTATTTTTTCTATTCGAAGATCAACTTTTTATCTATGTGATAATCTCTTTCTTTAATATATACGTATTAATATAAATAAAATATTTTAATAAAAAAGGATTGGGCCTAGAGTGGGCCCAATACACTCATCTGAACAAGGATTATATTCAAGGGAAATTTGAATAAGTAAAGAAAAATTGAGATAATAAATAGTTAAGATTAAGGGTTTTATAATAGTTATGTTGTAGGAAAAGTGATTGTGTAATGTTATAGAGATTCGTTTTGCGTGCTGAAGTTTTTTTTTTTTTTTTTGCTTCAAAAAGTGTGAGCCCACAAAATGTTGTGTATGTAGGAAACTTTCTTGTGTCATGTAAAATGATAAATATATATATATATAGGCAAGATATTCTTACACTGATATAAGAGTTAGAAGTTTTACATTTAATATTGATTATTGATTCACTTGCATCCAACGACTCACATTACTAAAAAAATTGAACTGTTAGATATAAATAGAATCAACGGATAAGATTAAGAGTGTAACTTACACTGGTATAAAATAATCTTGACCCATATATATATAATATTTATATTTATAAATATTTTATTTACAAATCATACCATATATAATGCTCGTTTATAATTAATAATTCGGTTCCATTGTATAATTTTAAATTTACTAATATCTTCTTCGATGAACACTGTGTGCATTTTAAAATGTTTTTAAAAATTTACATTTATAAAAATTATGTCTCTTAATATAATTAGCAATAACTTATTAAAATTGCTAATTTTTTTTTTTAATGTTGCAACTAACATGATATAATTTTTAATAGGGTAACAAAAAAAGTCGTTAAAAAATGATTTTGAAAGATAAAATATGAGCTATATGATTAATTACATCTTTGTTTACAGTGATAATGATAAAACTATCCTCGAAACTTCCTTAACTATAGCAATCAAAATCAACGAAATAATGGAAGTGAATTAGGCACAACGTTGATGAACAACTGGAATGGAATTACAAAAAAATTAAGGCTAAATTAAAGCTATGGCCAAACTTTAGGGTGAAAAATGACAATATATATAAGATCCCCAATATCATAAAAAATAAAATAAAAAAATACGTAGGAGCTACGCTGGCTTTCGCAATTAGTAAACTGGAAAATGATAGAGAAAACGACGACTTTAAAAGTTTTAATTTAAAACTGATTATAATGCAATTGAAATATAACTATTAGAAAGAACCAAATTGAAACTTCACACAAACTTGGAGACAAAATTATAATTTTAGCAAAATTATATCTAATTAAATTTTACAAGAAAAATATGAGTGCATATGTCATTATTCTTTTCACCAATTAAGGTCAGTTTTGCAACTGATTCTTGTTTAAGGGCTTTTTGACCCTTTTGCCCCTCATTAATTAATTAATAACCAATTTGCTCCTGATCAAGAACTATCCACCAACCTGCCCCCTTTTAGTCGACTACCTTGCTGTTTTAGTCGAGCAAATGGTCAATCTTCAGAAAGTGGACTACCGCAAATTTAGTCGACTAAAAAATCATCTTAATCGACTACATTTTTGGGATATTTAGTCGACTAAGTATCGATATTTAGTCGACTAAATATCGACAGATTTGTTTTTTAAAAACCCCCCATTCGGCAGAGGGGGAGTAGGATGACCTAATCGACTAAGGAGGCGGCCCAAACCCCAAATCCGCAGGAGCAGCTGAAGAACGCCCCAAACCCTTCCTTTAGGCGTGTGGATTGCCCCCAAATTTGGTCCAAATCGTGAAATCTGAAGGATAGGTAAGGTTTCTTAACTTGCATTGTGTTTTAGGTTTAGGAATTTTTTGTATTTGTTTGTTGTCCGAATTTGTGAACTCTAATCAAAGCGTTTGTTGTAGGTTTTGTAACCCTAATCTACTAAGGTTTATTTTTTTGCATTGTGTGAATTTTTTTGTTTGAAAAGTTTGTATGGGGCAAAAGTTTGCTTTTGGTTTACAGCGCTTATGTTGCAAGTTTTCATTACCATCATGACATGTTTCATATAGTTAAATGCTGACATGTTTCATTGTAGGTACCCTAAACAAATGACGAGCCGCAGAAGACCAAGCGATGAGGGCAATGAGTCACTTGAGAGACGCACCAAGCATAGGCAAGAGCGGCCTTCTTCGTCAAGGCGACAAGACGAAGAGCCTGATACTGTTGACCTCCCGTATGGGTATCTGTTTGAGGACGACCCTGCCGTCCACGCTTCATTCGTACGTGACCATTTGAATCGGCCGTTATGTGCTCCAAAATCTTTGGATACAGCCTTTTTTGATAAGGAGGGATTTGAAATTGTGGGGGTGTTGGAGGCGGCACATCTGAGGGTGTTGGCCGAGACCCTATGTCCGTATTCAGAGCTTATGGTGCGGGCCTTCTACCATAACCTCAGCTACGTACAGGGCGAGCTGAGGTCGAGGGTCTGTGGAATAGAGATCATCATGACGGCACCTGCATGGTTGGAGATACTCGGCTATGATTTTGACTCTTCTCAGACTGTGGTGTATGACGCTGATAGTGGTGTAGTACTTCCAGGATATGTACGAGAGGATGTCGTGCAGGAGCAGAGAAGAGTCCGTGGGGAACACTTGCACTAAACGGTGGGGTTGCTTTCTGTGGAGTCCCGTATACTACACTATGTCCTCACCCACGTTCTGTTTCCGCGATCTTTTAATCATTCCAGGGTGTTGGAACATGACATTCCCATTATGTGGGCTATCCGACATGCCCAGATGGTGAACTGGAGGCACTATATCTGTTGGTTTATGTTTAAGGCCAAACATAAGGGTCATCTTCCATACGCCTGTCTGGTACAGAGGATATTGGTTCACTTTGGTGTTCCCATGGAGACTGAGCTGTTGAAGAAGACCACGGGCTATAATTGCAAGTTCGGAAAGCGTCTATTGGAGCAGTGCAAGATTACTAAGAACACGAGATCGGGTGTGTGGGAGTTTAGTGGTATGCCCCAGGTTGAGGTTCCTTATGTTGCCCCAGATGACCATATTGTTGAGCCAGATGTGGAGGAGGAGGAGGAGGATGTGGCTGAGGTTGAGGAGATAGCTGAACCTGAAGGTGGATTTTCACTGCGTGATGTCATGAAGGGCATAAATGCAATGACAAAGAAGATAGGAAAGATGGCGCTGGCACATAAAAAATGGAGAAAGAAAGGGAATGAAAGGTTTAGACACATACATGGAAGGTTTAAGGGTGTGGAAGACAGGCTTGCTCGTCTGGAGCTTGCAAGAGGTGGTCAGGTAGCTGAGGCAGCAAGGGATGGGGGTCATGTGTCAGATGAGGACGACTCGGAGACGGACACAGACGGGGATGACGAGTAGATTTAGGGTGTACATCATGTTATTGTGTTTTGTTCATGTATTTCCTTTAAGTCGTTGATGTAATGTAACTTTTTTTAATGAATGCAGAATTGTTATGTTTTTTGGATCTATGTTATGTTGTGTAATGAATTTAATTCCATTTCAATATTGTATAACTTATGAATGGAACCTTTTTAGCAATTTGATCATCACGGCACAAAACAATATTGAACAGGTCACATTCGTCCATAACACATCACAGCAAATCAGTACATGTGTTCAAAAAGGCTACATCTTGTATTGTTAACTGTAAACAAACGTTATGACAACATACGACTTGGTTTTAGGAATTTAATGTCCACATGGGTTTTTTGACTCGGAAATTATGCTCCCTAAGTCACACTCCCTTAGTGGATCAGTGTAGAGTGGAAACCTAGGGCAAAAAACATGTGTAATTCGGATTTGGGGTCCTAAACCAACAAGTACAGGTTAATCGACT